ATTCAAAATTAATACAATGTGGGATTGTCGTATTATACTCATCACCTGCCATATTCATTTATAGCAGAGGATATAAAAGAGAATGGAGTGTCTTCTGAATTCATTCACTTATAGAAGGAGCGAAAAGAATCTTATAAGCATATAATTTTGGTCGAAACTAAGAGGTCCTTAGTCTTCCTAATAAGAATCTGAAACTTTCCTTTGCGGCAATATAACACCTGAGATATTAATTGCAGTTCACGTATTCTGTTTTCTTTTGTTGCAAAAGCTAATCAACGGGTTTCGTCAACCAAACAACGTTCTTTTTGTATCCTTCGTTTACGGAATACGGTACACTGTTCAAAGCTGACTGATCCAAATATAAGAACATTTTCCCATCAGATTGGTATGACTCCAAAATTCATGATTAAGATATAACTAAAATACTGCTTTTACAGACATTATTATTGTCACTAATAATTACAAAATGTCACGTTTCTCACTTTATTAATTTAACTTAATTCTAATTTTAGTTCATTTTTTACAATTTTAATCTTTTAATTTTAAATTATACATTTTGAAATATATTTTAAAAATACATTTTAGAATGTACATTCTAAAATATATGTATAAATCCAAAAATATTTTTAAAATTATATAATTCAAGATGTATTTAAAAATAATTTAAAAAACATTTTCAAATTTTAAAATATTTTTAAAATATACAATGTAAAATAAATTTAAAAAATATATTCTAGATTTAACTTTGTCAGACCTCGGAAAAACGCACCCGAACCCCTCCTGTCAGTCATTTAAAACGCACCCAAAACCCTCTGCGCGGACGTCAGGTGTCAATCAACGAGGATTCGAAAATCAGATAGTGGAAGGTAGGTGTCGGCAGGAGAGCGGACGTCCATTTGGACGCGAGAAGCAAAAATTGATTTTTTTGAAAACTCGTACCCACTCTCTTCTGCATGCACCTTCTTCTTTCCAAAAATCTGATCTTTCATTTTCACCTTCTTCTCTCTAGAAAACTCTCCCTTCTCTTTACTGTAACTCACCTTTTTTCTGCTCCGATCACCGTTCAGGCACCGTAGGAGCATTCCCGGCGTCCCAAGCTTCATCTTGAACCGAACAAGTTTCAAGTTTGAGCGGTTTGAAGAATTATTGATCGTTGAGGGTAGAAAGATTGTAGTCGGGCGAGCCAAAAACCTACTCTTAGGACGTTAATCACTATCCAGGTAAGGGAAGCTATCTAACTTAATTTTGTATTTGTTGACGTTCGTTGATAATTTGCATGAGGTTGAGTGATAGAATGTATATGAAGTAAAGTTGAGCTGATTGTTATGTGGGAATATATTATAATATGATGGGTTTACGAAGTATGAAAAACTTTATGTTGATATGAATTTTATAAAGGTATGAAGATGAAGTTATTAAGTTAAGAAATGAGTTTGAATGTAATTGAATTCTGAATATGAAATTCCCCATGATACTGTACGTTCGTCATTGAACGGTCCTTGACTGTTCGGTGTTTCTAGTAAACTGGTTTGACATTGAATTCTTTCATTTGGAAAGAATTCTAGTTGAGGACGAGCGTCTTCTTGTAATAATGTTGTGCTTGAGCGTTCGGCCAAGCGTAGTTGCATCTGAGCGTTCAGTGATAACATAAATCTTGTATATATATTATGTATATATATATATATATATATATGTATATGTATATATGTATATGTATATATATATGTATTATGTATATATATATATATATATATGTATATATATATATATATATATATATATATATATATATATATATATATATATATATGTATTTGTATATGGTAGTTATTCTTAAACGCAATTCCTATAATACCTTATTTTATAAATCTTTTATTTTTAAGTTTAGTAGTGTTCGGTCTCACACCAAGCTCTTGAAATGAATGGTGCTCGGTCTTATACCAAGCGCTCGTACTCGTTTATATTTACAATCTTGATGAAATACGTTCGTCCAACTTCAGTAGAATTTTCCCTTTACCATGTTCGGTCGTTTACTAGCATGGATTTCGTATGTGAATATTCTAAATATGGTTCTTTAATGTCTTTACGGGTTACATTTCATTGGATCCGGTTATGAGCCTCCGTACTTGATTTATTCTGAGCGTTGGTTGAGTTCACGAGAATCAGTTCATTAACTGATTTTCTGTGGTAAATGGTTCGTCCCATAGTGTAAGTGTACCCTATTCATTTCTAAATCTAACAGTAACCCTTTCGGTAGTATTCCATTCTAGGACGAGAGATTTTTCCCTGTCTCGTTCCTATCGTTTGTCCTTGATCTAAAGAGGGCTGAATGTTCGGTATTTGATGTTATTGGAAATTATGATAAAAATGACACTAAAGTGAAGAATCATAAATGATGAAGAGTATATGAGATAAATTAAGGTTGGGAAATTTTGAACGAGCGTTCGGGGAGGAACGGAACTCTTGGATGAATATTGGAATTGGTAAAGTATGAATGTGGTATAATGCTTAGCTGGCGGTTCATCCTAATGTTCGTGAGTCTCGTCCTCAGGTAGAGGCGAGTAGTCATGTGTGGGAACGGAAGGAGGTCCTAGTCCTTAGGGGTTACTTGGACGGAAACGGACTAACCTCGGGTGGCCAAGCTGATGAGAGTATTCCAGTTACTACAGCACCCGGGGCGTGGCACCGAACGTCGTAGCTACACAGAATTCATACAGTCCGGACAGTCAGTCTAGTAGTAGGCCTTGCTTAAAATTGTATGTTGGAATGTATTGATGTGTTTGAATATGAGAAATGTACGTTATTACTTGAATTAAATTACATAAGCTTACCCTGTGTTTTCCTTGTGTTGTCTTGCTGTATATCCGTCCTTGTCGTTGCAATGATCATCCGTGTGGATGTGAGCAGAAGGAGACGCGCTCTTGGAAGAGGCGCTGGAAGAAGAGAATTTGGTAGAAGTTGAAGTTAAGACCGAACAGTAGGACGTTCGGTCAATAGGGTAGTTTTGTATTGAGGCGGTCTTTCCCCTCTGTCTCATCTTTATATGTACGACCGTTCGGTATTCTGTTTTGTAAACCTTTCGGTATTCTGTTTTGTAAACCGTTCGGTCAGACTCGTACTTATGTATTGTTTTTATATAACAACTCTCTCACTCTGTAAAGCCGTTCGACCATGAGCGTACGTCATGCTAGTGTAAGACTGAACTGAGTTATTATTAATTGTAATCATTCTATTATATAGTATACTGTTGTATTTTTGAGATGTTACAAACTTTCTAAAACATTTTTAAAATATATTAAATATATATATATTTAAGAAAATATTTCTCAAATCCGAAAATATATTCTAAAATGTACATTTTTCGAGATATATTTGAAAAGGTTCACCTGAAATAGTCCATTTGGAAACGGTGAATCCAAAATATATTCAGCGACTTCTTTTCATGGTCTAATTCCGGTTCACCCTCTCGTCTTCGTCTTCATCATTTTCATCTTTTGTCTCATCTTCATCTTCTTTCATTTCATCAGCATCTTCTTTTACTCCATCTTCATTTCCTTTAAACCCAAAGCAAATCTTCAGATTCAGGTGCAGGTTGGCCTCCAAAACATGTTCTCATGCTAGTCAGATTCTCCAAACCCTGGCCCCACACAACACCTTCATGACCACGAGACAACCCAAATCCCAGTCTCGCACAGTGCCTTCACGGCCACCAACCAAAGATAAAAGATGCAGGAAGGAAAAAGGGAGGTGCAGGAAGAAAGAGCGATTGCTGCCTTTGCATAGTCCTCAAAGAAGGCGTGCATTGTGTTTTTTGATGGTGTTGTTAATCAGCTTGATGGATTTGATGCTGGTGAAAACATCAAAGTTTTGATGGCAACAAACAGGTTGGTTCGTTTTATTAGTAGAGCATCTCAGGATTATTATGCCAGTTTTGTCATAATCATAATGCATTCCAATGACACGTGTACAATCTTGAGAACATTGTATTCAAATCAATTAATATATTCAACTTTTAATAAAATATATATTTTAATACATTTATTTCCAAATTATTTATTTTTTATTTCAATAAAAATGATTTTATTATGATTATGGGTTAAAAATTAATTATCCTATGTAGAAATAATGACACTAACGCAAATCAAATTTAGATCGGGTACTTAATGTCATCTTTGCACATTTATGTAGTCAATTCAATATTGTTTAAATGACTTTCATTTTGTAATTTCATTTTGTAATTTCATTTTGTAATGTGTAATTATGTGACACTTGTGTATTTCGAAATAAGCTTTTATTGCTATAAACAATTTAATGCAATGAAGATCCGATGCATTTTTCTTCTGTGATTGTGAAAATTCGTTTTCAAATTTCAAACGACAATGGTAAATTTATTTTCATATTTTTTTACAGCATACGTGTAATTTAGTGAACTAAAATTTGTATCTGTAATACCACAATCCTATATTGTAAATTAGTAATTTCCTATTCAATAATTTTCTAAATAGAATTTTAAAATTTGATAATCTTTTAAATAAAATTTTAAAATCTGATAATTTCTTAAACTAAATTTTGAAATCCAATAATTTCCTCAGTCAAATTTCAAGATTTAGTGAGTTTTCTAAATTAGATGTTAAAATCCGATACATATAAAATGTTATAAAAATAAATATAAATTTTAAACGAAATAAATACAAAAATAAACAAGAGGAAATAAATAAAAAATAAAGAAAATCAGTTAATCGATAAATTTATTTTATATATATTTTTACTGAAAGATATTTTGTCAACTTGAAGGTGCAAGAAGTCCCGAACAAAAATAAACTCACGAAAACACATTCGGTATGAATGTCAATTTTATATTCAAAGACCACCAAATCACCCCAAAACATTTGCTCTGCATTAAAATTTCTCAAGGTAATCTTCAAGGCAAAACAAGCAATGAACGCAGATTTTGGAACGAATTGCAGCTTAATTAGATTTTAATCAAATATAACAACACCTGATGGAACACCACTAGATTTTAATCAACATTCATATCAGTAAAACAAATTATGTTAAGGAATTTCAGAAACTGACGTTTAAATAGGCATAACTGGCCATGGTAGTTTTTAAATGAAAAACAAGATAATCGTAGCTTTTTCTTGCCCCTCATTAGTTACTTGTGGCCATAGTTGAATCAATTTTCTAACCTTTACTTGTTATCTTCGCCAGAACTTGCATGGCTTATTGTGGCCCCGCTAGGTCCATCAACTCCAAAAAGTCTTGGGATTCCCAAGACCTGAACATATCATCACCACCTATATAAAACATATCGCTTGTAGAAAGTCCAATTTTCTGTCCAGAGGATAAACTTCCTTCACCCAATCCAACCAAGCTGTCAAGGTCTCCTAAGTTCTCAAAAATCACATTTTGATCCGAACATGGTGCGCATTCAGCATTGTTCTCCCGATCAGGATCAACCTTCTGTCATCCCATAATCACAAATTAGCACAGCACAATTAGAAGATAAGGCAAGATTCTACATATTATAAAATAACAAAATCTAACGAATAAGATCTTGAAATAAATTTATGAAATAGAAATATCATTTTACGTTATATAACATCACGATTAGTAGCATCAACTATCCAATAAGAGTACCTTACAGTTTCCTAAGGTCAGTCAAATTTGACTCACTGGAAGATTACAAGAATGAGCCAAAAAATTGCCAACTACTTGATTAAAACGCAATAAAAACTAAATCCCCATATCCCTGAACAAAATAGCAGGAAAGATTACAAACTTAGCCTATTTCTTTGAAAACATAACCACCAAGTCCTCAAATGAATCAGTCAAGTAGCAAAAAGTCGACAAAAATAGAATGAAACAGGCAACAATCGTAAATGAACCTACAGCAGGATGTTATAAACCCTGTAATTTCAAAAGATATCTACTAAGAACATGGTTATATCTGACGTATAGATATATCTACAAGAACAAGGTTATTTCTGAGTAGCTAACTGCAAAACGTAAAAGATAAAGTAACAATCATGTCTTGGGTGAATCTGGAAGAGAAACAATCATGCCAAGATTCCTAAGCAAATCCACAAATACAAATAACAAAATAGATTGCTCACCTCAATTCCATTGTTTTCATTCACAGCCATTGTGTCATCATCTTCTTTCAAATAATCTAGCAAAGATAAAATGTTATCATCATCTTGATGGTTTGGAGATGAAGGTGAAGGACGTGACGTGCAAGAGGGCATCAATTCTGGTACAGATGATGAAACGTCAACTAAATTATTTGGAGCCGAAGCAACTGGCAAGCAAGAGGACATCAATTTTGATACACATGATACAGAGTCAACATCATAGTTTGGAGCAAAAGGAACTGCTGATAGATGTGATACAGAACCCAACGCACAGTTAGGAGAAGATAGTACTGAGCAGGAGGGCATCAATTCCGATACACATGATACAGAGACAACTTGATTGGTGGGAATCGCATGCTGTGCTGAGCAAGAAGGCATCAATTTTGATACACATAATTCAGAGGTCAATCCAGCACATCCACTTGTAGAGGGATGGATGTCTTTTGCAATAGAAATATGACTTCCACTGGGTTGTATGGGAACAGGTGTAGACACAGAAGCAACACGGTCAGATTGCACAGAGTCAATTTCCTCATCTGTATCCCAGTCTTTTTCATCATATGGTTTACCATATTGTGCACCATTCCTAGGGCCAGGACCTTCCTTTTGGAATATCCTACAAATTACATAGGAATCCTGCAATACATATAACAAACCAGTAGAACAGTTAAATAAATGCAGAAGAAGAATTAGAAGAACCACAAAGAAGTAAAAGCAAAGTCAATAAATCAAACAATAGATGGCAAAGCGTACACAACCCTTAAAAATACCCACAAATGGATAGAATAAATACTCATTTATTGAGGATGGTCCGGAACAGCATTTAGTTACCACAAATTTTAATGGGGATAGGTGCATTTACAAGTATTATATTACCCACTCCGTCTCAAACTTCTTGAAATATATAAATTAAGGTTTCCAAAATCCCTCGTTCAAATTGGTATCTTAATCCAGAAATGAGGCTTCAAGACCAATAAGCCCTCTGTTCCAGTGAAAGACTACTGCAACAGAGGTATAATTTGGTAGTCTACTGGATCCTCTCTTCAATTCAAGGCTCCATTTTGATGCGAGGGAAAGACAAGGCTGCTGCACAATGAGGGAACTTTCAAGCAATCATTTTTTGTCCTACCAATTATTTGTTCCAATTTGTTGAGAGCTTATTGGTTGCTTTTGTTGTTTGATGATTCTTTATCTTATCTGTGGTAAATTACAAGTGAAATAAATGGATTCTCATAATTTTGAAGTGTTTCAAATCAATGACTGTGTACATGATTTGTTTATCTTGACTAGGGTGAAATTATTTGGATTATAAGGGGGGGTCAAATAGGAAAAGTTGACATATGTTCTACTGATACCATCTTTATAATAAAATTGTTTTGAATTGAAGAGAGTGCACGACCCCAGTCATNATAGATGGCAAAGCGTACACAACCCTTAAAAATACCCACAAATGGATAGAATAAATACTCATTTATTGAGGATGGTCCGGAACAGCATTTAGTTACCACAAATTTTAATGGGGATAGGTGCATTTACAAGTATTATATTACCCACTCCGTCTCAAACTTCTTGAAATATATAAATTAAGGTTTCCAAAATCCCTCGTTCAAATTGGTATCTTAATCCAGAAATGAGGCTTCAAGACCAATAAGCCCTCTGTTCCAGTGAAAGACTACTGCAACAGAGGTATAATTTGGTAGTCTACTGGATCCTCTCTTCAATTCAAGGCTCCATTTTGATGCGAGGGAAAGACAAGGCTGCTGCACAATGAGGGAACTTTCAAGCAATCATTTTTTGTCCTACCAATTATTTGTTCCAATTTGTTGAGAGCTTATTGGTTGCTTTTGTTGTTTGATGATTCTTTATCTTATCTGTGGTAAATTACAAGTGAAATAAATGGATTCTCATAATTTTGAAGTGTTTCAAATCAATGACTGTGTACATGATTTGTTTATCTTGACTAGGGTGAAATTATTTGGATTATAAGGGGGGGTCAAATAGGAAAAGTTGACATATGTTCTACTGATACCATCTTTATAATAAAATTGTTTTGAATTGAAGAGAGTGCACGACCCCAGTCATAAAGAAAAAATTTATGCATTCAATATTATTGAAAAAACTAAATATCTTCTTCTGTAGAATACATTTTCCTGTTGTGTATTCTTATACCTTCATGATTTTGGGAGCTTGAGAAAAATGTTTCTCATGGTTGAGTTTGAATTTCATAGAAGGCATTGTATCCTTGTAGATTAGTGGTTTCATTGGTTAAAAAGGAATTGTTCAACAAATTTGAAAGTCGATGTATCCTTTTAGAACTTTCAGAGCAAGGTATGGATGAAGATTAAAGCTGCTACTCATATAAGTATAGAGACGGGCATGGGTACTTTTTCTAATTGCAATAATGGCTACGGGTACTACAGTACCTTACTCAGTCCCTATAAGTTATTCAATCCCTATCAGTACCTAACTCAAACCCTATCAGTACCTTACTCAAACCCTATCCATTGTCGTCCCAAAACCAAATGCAGAAAGGATTAAGGATGCGATTAATCAAATGCATATAGTAACAATACAACAAAGGCAGTCATTTTATGTCATACAATTTAAGCACATGCAAAGTATACCTACTGCTACAAATCAGCATAGGCTAACACAAAAAGAGAAAATTCTAATGTGATGGCATATTAAACAAAACCTGTAAAATACTAGACATCCTCACAGACACGAACCCTTAAACTGCAAATTATCCAATAACAATTTTTCTTAGCCAAAGTTTTTTTACCTGCGAAATGCCGTCGTCAACCATCTCCTTGTCCTGGAGTCTGAATTCATGCATAACCCAATCAGTCCGATTTCCCTTAGGGGCCTTACCGGTGTGAAAAACCAGAGTTTTAATCATCCCCACAACTCGATTCTTGTGCTCAACCGCTCTATCCTTCCCAGTAGTCTTCCAGTACCCAGCCTCCGTCGACCGATTCAACCTCCCTCCACTCAAATACTTCTTCCCCTGCGGGCAAAAGAAGTACCACTCCAAATCCCCACTCTGAAGCACAGATTTATCTGAAATAAAAAAACCTCGTTAAAACACACACAAAAAAAAAAAGAACATGGTGAAGTACCTACGAAACAATAATGGATTGCAAACCTGGAAGATCCCACGGAGCATACTTGTACAAGTCAAGCTCAGCTATTACTCCGATAGGAATTTTCTTGCCCCGAACCTTCCTCTTTAGAAAAAACTCAATCAACTCAACGTCGGTGGGACGGAACCGAAACCCTGGAGTCGAATTTCTTCGGGCCATCCAGAGAAAAAAAATAATAAGAAATGAAAATGAAAAAGCGAAATAGTAAGCGGTTTGTGAAGCAACCCAAAGCAATGGAAGAAAAAGAAACAGATCGATAGGAAGAGAAGAGGAACGAAGAGTTGGAAAGGAAAAATGAAAAGAGAGTGACTGAAAATATAACCCTAATTGGGGTCAGGTCAAGTCCAATGGCGGAAGAAATTCCAAGAACGCCTTTGTTTCTCTGCAATGTTTGAATTTTTCTCAAGTCTTTCGTTCTTAGAAAACAAGTTTCCAATTTGTCGTTTGGACTGCACTACCTTCCTGTATAGGTCGCTAGTTTATTCTTTTAATGAATTTATTTTGTCCTTAAACGATATCAAGTCCTTTTTTAAAGTTTCATTTTCTTTTGAACTTTTTCGATATTGATTGCTTAAAACTTTGAAAGATTCTGAAAATTTATGATGAATTTTGAGCAATTCATTATAGGCTTGAATGATGAGTGAAGGTAAGAGAAATCCCCCTCTTTTGTTAGGTCGCTGACGATATTTAGTAGTGTCTTGTCTCTGCCATAAATGTCTTAAGTTTACTTTCTTCTCCTTCTTCTTCCTTGGACTTAGATAAATCCAAGTCTTCCCAAATTCCTCATAAGTAACCGTTTCTTTTTACTCCCTTTGGGAAAAACCACTTTCTGTTGGACTGTTCCAAGTTAGCTTAAGGACCTGAAGTTTTTGGGGGTTTCTTACATTCATAACACCCCCTAGGCCCTTTCTTTCTCTTTCTTTTTTTTTTTTTCCTTTTGCTTGTTCTTAGATTTTGAACCGACGCATCTACCCCCACCCTCTGACAGTGTGAATTTTTCTCTTCTTCTCCAAACGAGTGTATCTTCCTTGAGATGAAATTTAATTCATGTTCTTCTTCTTCCTCTAAAGATTCATCTTCAACGTTTGACTCCTCAAACAGTTCATCCACCTCGAAGGCTTTGGTGGGCATCCTTTTTTTTGGTCATTGAGCCTTAAGCGCGATACTTTTCTATTTTCTCAACATCCCATCTTATTGTAGTTTCAGCTTATGAACTTTAAGGATGCCACTTGATCTGTCAAGGTTCTCAGACATCCTTAACGTTGTCACGTGCGATCTCTATTGTGTAGGGAAGTTGCGAAAGATTTAGGGAAAGAAAAAATATTTGTATTCACGGGTATTTACATATAAAGTCTAGGGTTAAATATGTTTTTCGTCTCTTAAGTATCACACGATTTTGGGTTTAGTCCCTATTCGAAACTTTTGTTCCTTTTAAGTCCTCTTGTTTTTATCACACGTGTAAGCTCATTTTCTCATTACCGTGCCACATTGCTTTTCTTTTTTTGATAAGTTTCAGACCACACGTTGATTTTCATCATGTTCACGAGCCTCTTTTGTTGCTTGATATTTTATCTCATACTCCTCCACCTGATAGTTTCCTTCATTTGCTTTTACTTGTTTACGCTTTTCTTTGCACATTAGATGTCCTCTTTCCTTCTGACCATGTTTTTGAGCTCCAGTACCTTGCACAAAATTCTTCCTTTCCTGCTAGTTTCAAAAAAATCATATTAAAATCTTCCATGCTCCAACTTCTGTTGCTTTCCATCGGATTCTATAAATGATCGGGATTCCATCTTGTTCTTTTCCTCAAACATGCTTACTGCGCTTTTTCCTTCTAAATTTTCCATAGTTTTTGGGGATGTATACCAATACTTCACTGGGTGTGTTGCTTCCCATTAATAGAAATAATTCTTTATTAATTTATTTATTTCCATCAACAACAATTTTCTCTACGTTTCTTCTCTCTAAGCACTCCAAATGATTTTTTCCCAGCTAACTGAACTAGTATCCAACTAAAACAAGCCTGCTTCTACAACATAAATTCAATTCAAGCTCGAAAAATATCACATAAAAATTAAATTAAAAAAATAAATAAAGCCAAGAAATAATAACCTTGTAAACGATAATGTACCACGCGATCCGACGCACGACTTCAACATAGTGACCAAATCCGCAACTCGGTGGAAGTAAATCCCTTCACAGATCTTTTGCAAATTCTTTAATACGGGCTCAAACACCAAAACCTGAAACCCCATGGTAGAGGTGGCAAAGGTGTCCACCAACGTCTACGACTAAACCATCCTTGCCCTTGCTCTTGGCCTTGTCGAGCAGGTCCTAATGGTGACGGAGATGTCAAGCTTACGAAAGGGTTTCCCTTTGACATCCTTACGATGTTCTTGTGAGGCTTGTCGGGGAGGGTTCCGAAATCGGAGAGGGAAAAGAGGAAGGGGTAGCGCAAGCCCTCGACGATGTTGGCGAAGACGGGATGAGCCTGAGGAGAGGCGGAGCAGTCGAACGGGGAGACTGCTTTCAAGGAGAGGAACCAGAATCAGGCTTGGCCTTCGTGGGTTTTTTTTGGTGGGCTTGCGATTTGGGTCTTGCTTTGGATCTGCCGATGAATCCACGACTCCAGTGAAATCATGAATCAGAATAGAAGAACCCTAATCTGATTTAGAGAAGAAAAGATATGTGGCAGAGACCTAACATAGAAGCTGACATTGTTGACCTCACACGTGGACTCATTGTTTGCCATATCAAACAAAAGTTACGTCGTTCAATTTTAAGGACTAATTGTAATAGTTTCAAAACTAAAAGGACTAAAACGAACAAAAATTTCGAATAGTGGACTAACCCAAAATTTTGTGTGATACTTAAGGGACGAACAACATATTTAACCCTAAAATCTATAGTGGATAGTTTATATCTCATATAATTTCTTATCCCGCGGGTGTACAGACAGTGGGTATTTTAATACCCACTTATAAATGAGTCTCGTATCCATGTATATTCATTATTCACAAAAAAATTAAAACGAAAATTTAATTCATATTTTATTAAGTTAAATTTAATTGAAATTAGAATTAATTTTAATTTTATTATGTTAAATTTTAATTTCATTTATATTATATTTTAGGGTTAAATATGTTTTTAGTCCCTAAACTATCAAGCGAATTTGTTTTTTAGTCCTCTTTCAAAGTAAGTACATTTTTTATCCTTCTCCTTAAGGAACCTTACTTTTTGGTCCTTCCAAACTAACCAAAACACCGTTAAACCCAGCTGCTGGGGGGGCAACGTCTGGCCCACGTGGTTCAACCCTTTCCTCTTATCTCTTGCCACGTGTGATTGCATGTTTGATGACATGTGTTAAGTGATTTTTTTACGCGAATGAAATTAGGATTGTTGTACTTAGAAAATTAGGGATTTTTATACACGAATGAAATTGGGGTTCTTACACTTAAAGTTAGTAACAACTCTCTTGAAGCTAGTTAGGGTTCGTGTTCCTTCCTTCAATTTGCTTTCGCGATTGTTATGGCTCCAGTGTGTTGCATTGTGTGTCAAAGAAAGGCGATTCGAAGAAGAGGTAATTATCTAGTTTGGTTTACTGGGCTTTTTTGTTGTTCATTGTGTATATAAATTTTTCATTTTACCATGTAGGAAGAAATTGTTTTTGACGTTTCTCTGCATCACATGGGGAAGTTCATCAAGAATAAGGAAGTAGAATATGTGGGAGGAGAAATACATGTTATAAAAGGAATTGATCCCGACATGTGGCCTTACTTTGAAGTAGTGAGATTTGTTAGAGAATTCAAGTATGCTGCAGACTTCAAGCTATGGTGGAAGGGGTCGAAACAAAAGGCCATGAACAACTTCAGAATACTCAAAGATGACAGTGAAGCAATGTTGTTGGCTAACTATGCAGAGGAAATAACGATGAGGTTGAAATCTATCCAACATCTCCAATCCAGTCAGCCAATTGAAATTAACTTTCTTACTTTTGGTGAAGAGGCAGCCTTAAGTCACAAACTACCGAGATAGAGGAAGATGGTTATTGTGGAAGAACAACATGATTATTTGTTGAAGAGGTGACACCGTTGTATGAAAAATGTATTTGTTGGTGGGGTGGAGGGGCATGGTTGAAGACGTCCTAAATGGATGAATTTAAGAGGACGAGGGGAATGTTGAGGGAGAAAATGTAGAGAGGGGTAAGGAACAACCTTATGTTCATGAGGAAGAGGAAGAGGAAGATGAAGAGGAAGAGCAAGAGGAAGATGAAGGGGAAGAGGGCAATGTGCGTTGAGGGCGAAGTGTTGGATTATATGGATGATAGTGATGAGAGGAAAGAATGACAAATGATGATGATGGATTTGGGATGAAGATGAGAGGGTGAGGAAGGAGAAGAAATATTAATTCCTTTTTTGATAAGTGGAGTAGAATGAAAAAGAGGAAGAAACTGTTAGGAGAAGAATCCAAGATAGTGACGGGTCATTTATGATTAACTGAAGAAGTTGGAGAGCATGAGATAAATGAAGATTACAATACAATGAGTTGTCTTCAAATGTAGATATTGATGAGGTTGTGAGTGAGAATAAGAGGCAGTTTCAAAGTATAGAGCAAATGATATGACAAGACTTCAAATTTAAATTGGGGATGGAGTTTAAGTCTTTGAAAGTTTGAAAGATTTTAAAAGTGCGCTACAGAAGCATAGCGTTTTAAATGGAAAAGAAGTGATGTTTATGAAGAATGATTTGAAGAGAGTAAGGGAAGTTGGTAAAAAGGGATGTCGTTTTTCTAATTATGGCTAATAAGGTAGGGAAGAGTAAGAGCCAAACTTTAGAGTGAAATCTAGTTGGGCACCAAGTGTGGAAGGGATTTTTGGTAACAAAAGTGCTAGTGTACAATGGATTGCACAAGTATTGGTAGATAGATTTGTAAATGTAGGAGGCATGATAGTCATCCAAATCATAGATGAAATCAAAAAGTCATATAGTGTTGGAATAACTCATTGCTTTACAGTTTGGGCAGGGGATTCACAATTTGAAGTTACTCATGACTTTACAATGGACAAGTTTGTAGTTGATCTAAGTAATCACACTTGTACTTGTTACTTTTGGGATTTGGTACGAATACATTCTAGACATGTTGTTGCTGCCATTCATTACAAATTAGAAAACCCAGAACATTACGTTCATCCTTATTAAAAGAAAGATGTTTATCAAACTTGTTATGCACCTATTATAATTACTATCAATGGACAACAACTTTGGCCTACATCTGACTTTGCACCACTGCTACCACCCACTTATAAAACACCTCCTGGGAGGCCAAAAAAATTAAGAGACGACAAGCTGATGAATAGTTTGCCATTCCAAATTTGTCCAAGAAAAATATTGGTATGAAGTGGACAGTGTAAATGAATAGGACACATGTAAGAAGTTGTAAAAAGGGGCAGAGAAATCAAGGTAATTATTTCATCCTGATGTTATTTTACAATTTTCATTAATTTATAAGTATTCAATTCTAACTACCTTACTCTTTCACACGAACACTGGGAGCCCCTGGAAAACATTACAACAACTGAAAGATCATCTGAGAGGAACATCAGAATACAAACATCACTGCTGGGCCATAGGGAGGTAGCTTGCAACACTGTAGGGGGCTGCATCAAGCTCACAGGTTGAAGAACATCAGGAAGGGGAGTTGGTACAAATAAAGGGGCTGCACCAACATCACAAACTAGAGGGAGAAGAAAATCATCTGCAAGACTGGCTGCACAAATTGTAGGGTCTCAAGCTAGTAGCAATTGAAATTGTAGTGTAGCCATGTGACTTTTTGTAAAGAAGTATTTAATAGTATTGAATGTGAACCCACTTAGACAGACCATTTATAGTGGGCACAGTATTTTGGACCACTTTTTTGCCCTGTAGTAGCACAGTGAGTGTTAATTGAATAGGTCGGGACCACTTTTGTACCACTTATATTATTGAATGCCAAGTTCAGTGTTTAATGTCAGGGGGCCCACTACAATGACCTACAATTACATTTTTTGTGTTGCTGACTTTTTATACATCACATTCCACACACCTCTCTTCAAAACTTAAATGACATCAAACACTAAAATCTGTTGCACCATGTTCATTCTGTGTGATTCAGAATCAGTCTTTCATTGCTGTGTTTTCAGTTTGGTGATGGTAGCCTTATAATTATGGTTTATTTCTGTGCATTCAAACTTCTTGAGTCATTTTTATAGTGCCTAATCTTTCATTCAGTTGCACCTCATTTCCTACTCTCATCAACTATTTATTGCCATAATTCCCATACCAAGGTCTTATAATTGGGTTAATGATGTTTTGTGCTATTGGAAACCTTTAAACACTTTAAAATGATGTTTAAACGTTGCAATCACTGTCATTTATCCATATCTTTGGGCCTATTCTTGAAGTTCATTTCTCAACTTGAAAAACAACTTACCATTTGTGCAACAGTTAGCCTGAAATTGCTTTTTCCCTGGTTTTTTCTAATATAGTTTTAGCATTTGATCATTGTATTAACATCTTATCATTCGTGTTCTAGTTTCTTTTCTCATATTTTCAATGTTTGTCACTACAACTTAACTTTCAGTGAATCAAAGTCTATTTCATCATATGTGTGCTTAAAATTGGGTGGTACAGTTGGCTATTTTGAGGAATAAGAGGTTTGACAAGTCAAATTTTGAGATACTAGTGATTCTATCAGAAACAAGCCAGTGAAAAAAGTTTATTTTCATGAATTAAACATGTTAAGATAAAGACAATTATTTGTAATCATCTCTCTGCAATTTTCACACCTACCTAGTACCACCAATTTTAAGCTATTTTTTCTAAAAAAGTTGTTGAATCAGTGTTTTTTCTTGTTAATTCTGGTTTGGTGCATTCTTGCTACAGTGTTGGTTAAGCTACTGTAACTCGTCTTTTGGTGCATCCACAACCACAAAGCTATACCTACTAAGACTAGGCTCATACAATTGAAAAGGGTGGGGTAGTTGGAACAAGAAAGACGGCTTTGCTACCAGTTTCAATTTTCTGCTATCCAGCAACTTAAAATGTTTTGTTTGTATAAATCATTTTGACAACCTTCCATATTTATTTCGCTACGTTGCTTGAGGAAAATTATCTTTGAAAGAAATTCACAGTTTCCATTGTTCAAATTGAAAATCCTTCTTTACTGATACACCACCAATTATATGTTTAAACTCATTTATTTAAATCACAACAATAATCTTGATACAAATGCAGATAACGCAAACATAATGTCATAATTGAACTCAACTTCAAAGTTTATGCTACATCACAACATTACCAATCTAATTACAATTTATCTTGAACACAAAAATAATACATAACATCATTGTCAATGCCCATGACAATACAAAGAACACCAACATCATTTTGAAATGTTTCCTCTCCTGCTCTAATTTCCTCTTCAACTTATCCTTCTTCTTCCTTAGATCCAATACAGCCTTTTTCCATACGGACTTCAACTTCTTCACTCTTCCTTTGTAAGCTTCCTTCAATTTCATAATGTCCTTCATCAACCATTCAAAGTAGTTACACCTTGCATTACTCTACAAAAGAAATTACAAATCAGTAATACAAACTTCATCACAATAAGTTAGGCATTTTTTGTTACTTACTTTACTAGCCATTTCTACACTACTATAAAAGTCTCCCTTATTTCTTCAATGTAGTGGCCTTCAACACCAACAATCTTTCCCCACAACCACACATTTTTGAGCAAGTGAGAGGAGGATCCCCACATGTTTGGGACATTCCAACCAATGCTCCTTTGTGTGCAACCAATTCCTCCACTGTCAGCTTTCATTTCCCTTCAACATGATTTCGAGAAGTAAAATCAAGAAAGATCCCTTTAGTCCCAACAAAACCCTATATCCCAATCCATCCATTTATTCACACGAAAGAGAAATAATAACTTACGTGACCAACTACACCAATGCTCAAGAAGATGAAATCCAACCTTTTGCTCTTCAACCTCCTTTCCACCTTTCACAATACACTTTGCAGCTAACTTTACCAATCAACCTAATAAACTAATATTCTCACTTTGCATTACAAAATACCAATATGGCAAGAGATACGAAGGAAAGCTGTGAACACACGTGGCCAGACGTTAGCCACATCAGCTGTTTTTAACGGTGTTAGTTTTGGAGGTCCAAAAATTAAGGTTTCCTTAGTAGGAGGACAATGTACCTACTTTGAAAGAGGACTAAAAACAAATCCGTTTGATAGTTTAGGACTAAAAACTATTTAACTTAACCCTATATTTTATATTTTGTTTTGTAATTTATTTAGATTTTATTTTAAAAATTTATAAAATATATTTTTAAGGAATCCTTTAAGTCTCTAGATATTGTGACGTAGATTGAGCAGGTTTGCCTATTGATAGACGGTCTACTACATGATATTGTGTTTTTTTGGGAAGAAACATTATTTCATGGAAAAGTAGGAAACAAAATGTAGTACGATCAACAACTGAAGCCGAGTATAGGACAATGACATCACTAACATGTGAACTTATATGGGTGAAACAATTCCTTCAAGAGCTTAACTTCTGTGACATCAATGAAGATGTATTGCGACAATCAAGCTGCTCTCCACATTGCATCAAATCCAGTGTTTCACGAGAGAACTAAACATATAAAAATTGATTGTCATTTTGTTCATGAAAAGTTGTTGACTAAAGAAATATATATTGAGTTTGTTAGGTCAAACGATCAACTCGTAGATGTATTGACCAAGTCATCAAGGAGTCCTCATATTGAGTTTATTTGTTCCAAGCTTGATACATACAATTTGAATTCTCCAGCTTGAGAGGGAGTGTTAGGATATTTACCCTATTTATCATCATTATATTGTGTCAATGGTACTCAAATTATCATGATTATATTGTGTATGGGATTACCCTATTTATCATGATTATATTGTGTGTAAGGTCGCCTTATTTATCATGTACTCTTGTATCAATTTACTTTTATAAATAGAAGATTATGAGAAGTATCAATCAAATCCACAAAAATTATTTTACAGTTTGAATCTCAAATATTATTATTTCAAAAATAACATAAGTACATAATTATTGTGGATCTTATAAATACGACAATATTTCTTAAAAAAATTATTTAGTAATAGATCATATTTACTTAATATTAAAACTCTTTTCTTGAGTGAAAGTTTTTTTCCAAGTAATTTTTTCTTCGAATAACACAAAATTTAATTCAAAATCATAAAAATTTGAAGTCATCCCTAGGATTTATCAACATTTCACGTATGGTAAGATAAAATCTATTACTAATTTTGTAGCTATTTTTTCTCTAAATTGCACTCAATTTTTACTATTTTTGTTTCACTCCAATTCAAATAAAACTTTGGTTTAATACCTATTTTGATTCCTCGGTTTGTGAGGTTTGTTTAAAGTTGTCCACCTTTTTTTAGACGTTTACAATTATCCCATATTTCTTAAAAAATGGTTTCGAGTTGATTCTTTTTGCTTATGACGTTAAAAAACTAACGGAAGTTAGCCAACCTGTACAATCTTTCATTACGTGCAACGTGTGCCTAATTGGACGTGGCACCTAGTTATTTCAAAATACCTAGGGTTTTACTTTTCACCCAAAAAACCAGGGCAATGCCAACACCCTTTCCGTTGTGGTGGCAACCGAGACTCATCGATACTGTGTTTGGCGTTGCCGTCGGTGACACTCCCATTCTTCCTACTCTATGTGCTCACTCTCTTATGTCAATTTCTATGTTCGAAAAAAGAAAAACAAACTGGAAAAAGAAATTACTGCCTAAATTTGGAAAGCTTCACAGGAAAAGTGGATTTGAACAATCAAAAGGGAAAAAAATATGAATTGATTGAGGAAAGAGAGATACCCATTAAAGGAAAAATGAAGGACTATTATATACGATCCACACCATCTTATTCATCCACAATTCAATTACTGAAAATCTATTAGGGTTTGATTATTGATAACTATCAAGAACATTCTCAAACCCTTACTGAAGCATGGGTGTTATGGCAAAGATATGAGAAAGCCCTTACTCATGGCAAAGACCCAAGAAGCGAATCAACAATTTACAACTTCCACTTAATTTATTTCTTCTCAAATTAAAAACCCCAAAATAGGGGAAAAATGTGTAAACATCAATTATGTTGTCAGTGAGTTTGAAAATGGCTTCCCCGCTGGCTGGAGAGTGCGACAAAGATCACCATTCTGATCAAACGATACCGGTCATCGATCACAAGAGGCATCCGCATGCTTTGCTCGTCGGTTCCATAAGTTGAGAGCATAGAGCAGAGCTTCCGGTGTGCCAAACTCTGATATTGGGTAATGTTGTAACGTTGCCACGTCAATCAAGCCACACAGTTGCCACTAATGAAAAATTGAACGTCTGGCTAAGTTCCGTAAGCAAAAATATCAACTCGAACCGTTTTTTACAAAATATGGGATAATTGTGAACGTCCAAAAAAAAGGTAGGACAACTTTGAACAAACCTCACAAACCGAGGGATCAAAATAGGTATTAAACCTAAGTCATGGTATATGTTATGGTGAGAAATAACACTAATGGAATCTGTATTACAGGTATATTTTAACTTAAATATTTTCATATTTATTTATTTTAAATTAATTATTTTTTGTTTTCTTTTTATATTCAAACAATGTGTCCGACATGTATAATATAAAACCCTGAAAAAAATAATTTTTTTTATAATAATGTTTTAAGAAATAATTTTAATAAAAAAACTCAAGAAAGTAAAGAAATGGTTTTACTGTTATATATCCTCGATAAGACCATTTTTTTTATTTGCCGCTCATCTTTCCCAGGAAGAAAGAGCATACTATAGAAACCTCTTACCCAAAAACTTTTATTTATTTTTAATTCAATTTTGGGAATAGTAAATCCACCACTATAAATGAAACTTTCTCCTTGGATTGTCCAAATACGCCAACAAAGATTGAACTCTGAAGCGCTTACTTCTTCCACCTTCCCCGGTAAGAAAGAAGAGCTCCGAACCCTAATCGATTTCCTGGTCTTTTGTAGATTATGTTTTTCTGAGATGAACTGCATTGGGTGTGTTAGGGGTTTACTGCGCCGATGAAGCTTCTTCCGACTGTAAAGGGATCGTCATCCATCGTGTGCCAATATCCCTGCATGATCCGGGGAAGGCTTT